ACCTAGCAGAGCAGAGCCCCTTTGCACACAGCGGAAAAGAAGGTGATATATATATATATATTTATACTAAGAGAGGTTACTGTAAGCGACAGCGACCTGAAAAAGGGCCATACTGAAAATTTTCATGGGATTCATAGGATAGTCTCTTGGGTCACTCAACCTCAGTTGGTATAGGAGAAGAACCCATATATCCGGGTCCACTCTTCGGCGCTCGAGCGAGTTCGGCGCCGAACTGCATGTCGCCGCCTTTTTTTGTTCGCCAGACCTCAGCCGAGCTGGGCGTTTGAACCAGCGAAGCCCTGGGCCGCCACCTCTGGGTTTGCGATGACATGCAGGCGAAAAAAGAAGAGCTCCCATGATGCCGCCACGCGGGCGCAGCGGGAATTTTTGGGACCATGAAGCCCCCCACGAGAATTTGGAGTGACCAGGGACGGTGACAAGGGACGATGGATAAAGAGGACATGTCCCCGGACAAAACTGAGGTGTGGTCGGTGTGGTGCTGGTCCATTGCCACCGAGGCATATTTGGTCCGAGGCACACTCGGCCGGACCAATTCCTCACTTGGCCGGGCTCAAGTGTTTAGCCAACGGGGGAGTAGCGGGCAGTGCTGTTTTTGCGCCGCGCACTCAGATTGCTTGATTTAGGTAGTAGAAAGATGTATCAGGAAGTGTAGATCCAAAAAGCACAATGATATAGGAAAAGTATCAGAACGATTTTGTTTCGTCTATTCTACTTAAGGCTTTTCCCAAAAAACCCACCCCGGAATGGGACCCGAACCGCTCCGCCGCACCGGTCCGACCGGGAGGCTGCCTGGTGCTGTTCCAATGGGCAGGACGGCGCGACGTGACGCGCGACGTGGCGCGGGGGGGTGGACCGAACGGGTGGCGGGGGGGGGTTCCGCGGGGGTCGCGGTGTGGAGCCAGGAAACCGGATCCCAAGAAGAAGGAGGCGAAAGCCGCCTCCAAGAAGAAGAATGGATATGCTGACAAAGGCGGGATGACTGACTTCGTCCCAAGTCAGTCTGGAGAGTTCATCTTCTGGACCTTTGAGTGGTCTCAAGAAAGGAAGGCACCCACAGGCGGCCCACGGGGCAACATGATCTCCTTTTCACACTGGATGCAGATGCAGAGCTGCTGGGTCTCACCGTGCCAGGTGAAAATCAGCGTATGTCTGCCGAATCCATCGGCTTCCAGATCAGGAGCCGCAGGGGGGCGAAAGGCAAAGGGAATCGAAAGTCGGAGGTCCAACACAAAGGATTTGGACCTGGATAGATGGGCACTCGTTCGTCCCCGTTTTGAGCAACTCCCTTATGCACCCAGTTTGCGTCCCTTTACTTGCCAGATGCAACTACAACAACCAGAACCTGCATGAAGCCGAACTGATACGGGACCATCTAGAAAAGGATACAGTACCTGCCGATACTTGAGCATGTTCTGAACATATATAGAAACAAGCAAGGTGGTGATGTCCTGACTGATCAAACTTGTCATGCACTCATACATTTTTGCTGGAAGAGACTTGGGCTTGGCGCCGCTTCTTTTCCTCATCAAATGCTTGGATTGTCCTAGGTCAATCTAGGTCATACCAAGTCAGTTTCTCAAGTATGACAACATCGAATATGTCAGTCTCGACCTGATTCTTCGCCAGTCTCGGCTGCTGACACTGCATTCAAAAAGGCTCCAAAAAGCTCTTCACCTCACAGTCTCAGCAGGACCGGTCCCGAAGCTCCCAGCAAGACGGGCGCCAGCATGGACATCGACGTGCGGGCGCACGGGCGCCTCGCGTGGAGCAGCGCATGGCTGCGTCCCTGTGGAGGGTGGAAGAGGACTTAGGCAGCTCCTGGATCTGCCATTGTTGAGAGGAATGGGTGCTGAGATCCAGGCTCCAAGGTCAGGCTCGGCTCGAGATGTTGGATTTGCGCCCTCCCAGATGCTTTGGGCTCACAGGTCGCCGAAACAGCTGCCATGACTCCTTGGGCCGCCTGAGATTCACCTCCCGAGGTCAATGAGATCGTGGTCTTTGCAGGGAAGCAGGCCACGGGTGGCTTCTGGGCGGAGTTCGGACCGTTCTGGAGCCGTTTGGAGAGGTCGTGATGGTGTGCAACTGTGAAGCTCTTGAGCCATACAAATGAACCCAAAGGCTGGTCATTGTTCATGGCAAGATAGATGAAGGTCGAGAGGGGAACTGGGGTGGTGCAGGTCAATCAGGACCGAATGAAACAGGCCCCGTGCCACCAATGAGACCACGCTGCTATCCCGTGGATCGTTCATCTGGATGGATGGCCCGGTCCTCCCAAGGAGACGTTCCCCACGGCAGGGTTCCGATTGGAACCCCCGACCCGTTGGGTGAAGACGGTACCGGTCCGACGAGCGCGCCCCAGGAGCTTCTCTTCAATGCCACGCTCAGACTCGCCCAGGGCATCAAGTGCGAGCGGGCGGGCTGCGGCTCGAAGCGACGGCAGAAGAGAGAGAGAGAGAGACAAGCTCCAAAAGGAGTCACCGGTGCTTCAATTGGTTCAAAACATCTTGGAAGAAGACCCGGGACATCTGGCCTTGTTGCTGTCCTATCCAGCTATCTCCACCAGGTACGGCCTGATTGGCCGGAATGGTGTGGGCAAGAGCACCCTCTTGCGGGCGATGGCCGAGCGCGATGGCCTGGGGCCCCCCAGCATCGGTCGTGCTCGGAGGTCGCAGGGGACACCCGTGTCCGTTCCATGTCGGACCCCCTTCTGCCGAGGCAGAGGTGGGTGGGTCAACCCACCAGCAGCCGGAGCCTCCGTAGTGCTAAGTCGTTGTTGAGCTGTTGACACCCTGGCTTTCCAGTGAGTGGGGTATCCAGCGGGACCTCGCCGCGGGACCTCGTCCTGGAACCTCAGCCACCTGCAGTCTCCGACGTTGCACACGCCTCCACTGCACCGCCTCGTTGCACGCCATGGCTGTGCCGATCCATGAGTTCATCAACAGGGACCCAGCGAGTGGATGTGTTCGGGGTGAGCTCGGTGGGTTGGGAAAGTCCTAGATTCAGCTGCAGGTCCCGGGTGGGAAGGGCCCAGAATTCGTTGCAAGCGTGACATCTCAACATGGTTATTCAGTCCTTTTTGCTGCCAGGTGCTCTGATTACAGCTAGCCAAGATGATCATTCACAGAATTGATTAGGGCAAGCTTGAGAAAGACTTGTGGGTGGTTGGGTTCCCTTCCACTCTTTGCAAAAGCACGTATTTGTATGTTCCGAAAGTGTTCACCCACCCCAAAGCATCCCGGAGCCGCCTTGGAAATCCCTCCCGAAACCGCATGGTTTCTCTTTCTTTCCTTCTCCGCTGCGGGAGGACATCAAAGAGCACACCTTCCATGCGGGCGAGGCGTGGCCCAACGAGGACAAGAAGGATGTGATGTTCTATGCCTTCCAAGATCAGGCGTCGGCTCAGTCGGCTCAGAGTCAGAGAGATTCATCAACCCCCAGGCTCAGCCCAGACATAGAGAGAGAGAGAGAGAGAGAGCTGCCATGGAGAGAGAACCCAGAGGTTTTCTGAAATCCGGAGGTTTTGAACGACTCAAGACTCTCTACATCAATATGATGGGTCTTCTTCAGCCGACAAAAAGGTCGATCGTCAGACCCACTGCATCCCACTGCGGCCAATGTTTCGACTCTTCGAGTCTCCACAGGCCCACAGGTCGTATACGAGCAGTAAAGAGATGTAAAGACTGTAAAGAGTGCTTTCTTTCATCTATATATAGTGGTCCCCAAATAGATAGTGGCACGGTTTCCAATACATGTTGAGTGGGGATCTACTTTCCTATCCATCTTGTGGCCTACACAGATCTGACACATCTGACACACCTCGGACTTGGCATTGCGCCGACCTTGGCATCCCGTTCCTTCCATCCGATGACCGCCCCACCGGTGCCCCCGCCCCACCGGACTCGGGCGACCGAGACCCAAGGACCCGCAAGACCGTGCGTCGTTTTCCGGCGCGTTCGGTCGTCGTTCGGCGCGTTCGGGGGGGGGGTCGGTGCGTCGAGGTGAAAGGCACTGAGCCGGTCTACGACTTCTGGAACTCCAAGGCCGCTGGGGCCGGGCTCGGCTGGGGTCGGCAGCGGGCCGGTCTGCGGGGGCCGGACCCGGAGTATTTCGACCGTGCGAGAAGTTCCGCGATTCGACCCTAAGGACGTTTGGTCTGGTTTCTCTTCTGACTCTAACGTAACTTCTTTTTTTTGGGGGGGGAGAGGCGGTGTTTCAGCGGTGTTGGGTTTGCCTAGAAGACATTTGTATACATTTGGCATTGGACTGGTGTGTGAGACAGAGCATTAAAAATGCCTACTTGTTAGCACCACACCATGAATGATGGGTGGTTGAGAACTGGTTGTTTCTAGACTTTTTAGGCTGACTGGGCTCCTCAGAACGGTCTGAAAATGGGTCCGTCCAGTAGACCAATCATCCCCATGGGCCCATGGGTTCATTCCATCGTCGATGGCCGAAGAAGAAGGCCACCAGGATGCCAGGACGTCCCCCCCTCCCGGTGACTGGTCGAGTTCGGAGTCCAAGAGCGATGGCCTCCCACCTTCGGTGCGATGGCTTGGAAGGTCAACCCTGGTGAAGCTATCGATCCCCGCGGCTGAAGTTGCCGACCTGACCTGATTTCCGCAGGACAAAGAGCATACCTTTCACTTTGGTGAGCCGTGGCCCAACGAGGAAGAGGGTGGTGGTGATGCAGTGGGCGGCACAAGGGCATGACTGTTGGGGGTTCACGGACCAGGGATGTCGAAGAGCGAATCCGCCCCAAAAAATCTATTGGACCGACACACTTTTCTTTCCATAAATACACAGTATTTGCGACTACTGCAACTGGATCATCATGTCAGTTGAAAGCAAGTTGATTTCGACCCTTCACTGCTCCAGGAGAAGGGCAAGCATCCAGTCTTCTATGCCTACCCCTTGGGCGATGACATGAGGGGGTCTCTCGTCTTGACGGCGTGTGGAGTGCTGTGCATTGGTGGATTCCAGACCCAGCAGAGAGTCGACCTTTAAATGGACCTTCACCTGCGGAGGAGTCGCCTTCCATTGCTTTCAAATGCAGGAGAGAAAAGCCGTCGTAGCTTTTGGGATCCTGGGCTTACCAGGGCAACCCCCCTGGTACCTCAAGATGCCCAGAACCGCGTGGGGCCCTGGGGTTCTGGCTATCTGCCGAAGCCCTCAGGATGCTGAAGCCAGTGCACAGATGCTCGGCTGAAAACGGCGGCACCGCTTCGGTGGTCAAAACGACCCGCGCCCAGAAGGTTTTGGTGGGTTGTGTCAGAGTCATGTCCCCACCAACAGGACAGGTCTCACCACTTCTTGTAAGAATCTAATTATACAGCAATTGCCCTTTCTTGCACCCTTGTTCACCTCAGTCCCAGTCTTTATCTAACACTCCCTTTGTTCACCCTCCGCGTTGTGGCTGCGTTGTGGCTCGCTCCCCTTCTCCGTGGTGCACACACGAACCGAACCGGGCGAAGCCTCAGTGCTCTGGCGGACTGGGAGGCTTCTGGAACAACTCCGAGAAGAAGCACGCCTTCCACCTGGGCGACTCCAGGGCCGGAGAGGACCCGGTCGGTGGGCGCCGCTAAGCGAGTCGGTCGGTGGGGAGACACATTTCGAGGTTGGACGCGGTGGTCGAGAACGGGTTTGGGCGGAGACGAGGTGGAGGTGGAGGTGGTGTGGAGTGGACGGCTGTGAAGCTTCTGGGGGGGTGCCAGCGGGGCTCAACCCTTGTTGAGTGGAGTGTTGATCCATTTGCACGTTGCGAAGTATGATTGGACCATGCCATGCGTCATGCGTCCCAGGCGCGGTAGAGTCTGTCTCCGGTCGTGTGACGAGGACAAGCATGAGGCGCTCTTCTTGGCCTTCCAGGAGCCTCTGATCTGGAATCTCGGCAAAGATGGAGCCGCCAACATCGATGGTACTAATCCCCAAATCTACGAATCCATGGCCAGTCCGTTCCCAGTTATATCTAGACTATACACATCCAGTTGGTTAAAGGCCTCAACCTTTCTAGTAACTTCTACAGTTTTGTTCGAACTGGAAGCACTGGTTACCTAGCAGGTGGTGAGTGAACCCACTTGGTACGGGGTCCACCACACCGCGGATGTGCCGCCCAAACGCCGCCACCGATCCACGACGCGCGGCTCTGCCCAGGAACATGGATGCCCTCTGTGATGGGGCTCCAGCGGTCAACCGGGCGAAGTGGCTGATCGAGAACAAGGGCATGACGGAGGCGGCGGCGACCGATCCGTTTCAGCTCGGTGGGAGAGGCGACTGTCTCTAGAAGAGACTAGACCACTTGGGTTGGTGGGGGATCCCTCCATGACTCTTGATGATCATTGAACCTCACAAAGAGGTTTTGCAATCCCAGTGGGGGGGGTTTATGAATCAAGAGTCTACATGGTCTACATTAGGGATTCTAAGAATACACAACCTCACAATGACAGATGGGTGAGGCTCTATCCTACCCCCAAGTACCAGTTGAGCTGACCTCGTGGAGGCATCGGGACATGGGGCGTTGAAGAAAAGCAAGACAGGTCTTGGTACCGGGACCCTCCTGTCGGGGTGCCCTGTCTGGAAGCCTAGGCCGGTAGTGTGGGGTAGTCCAGCCAGGACACCCCGAGGGTCGGAGGGTCCAGGTATGCTCTGAGAAGATTGTTTAGTCAGTTTTGGTGTGAGGACAGTCTCCAGTCGCAAGTTGTGTTCCAGAGGACTTCCCCCCCAGCACAAGAGAGACTTTGGACTCTCCGCTTCAGATATCTGAGCTTTTTCTGGCGAGCTCTCAGCTAAACGCCACTCCTCTCTAACACTCGAAGTGAACCATGGCCCCTTGCTCAGATTCTTTTCCACCCAGCTTTTGGCTCCTTTTGGCTCCTTCCTCCCGCACCGACTCGGCAGGAGCAGGCGAAGGCGCAGGTCATGGCCGAGTTTCCCGCCCTCTTCCGCGGCGGCGCCGGCGGCTACTCGGGCGGCTACGTGCCGAGGGCGGCGGCGCGCTTCGTGGATGGGAAGTTTCCACACACCTTGGAGATCGTCAAGGATGCCAAAGGCCCTGGGATGGAAGGTGGATGATGGGGATGAAGGAGGAGGTTTCGATCGTATGCCGAACTGAACTGTCGTGGAAGACTTCCGGGCTTTGATTTTCAAAGTGGAAGTGCTGGATGGATATGAGTGGGTGGCGGGTGAGAATGGTGAGAACTCTGTCGATTCCCATATTTCTTCGCCATTTCACAAGGGCAGCTGGGGAGGATGCTATCAAGCTGACATCAAGCTTGGACCTGCCAGTAGAGACTTGGAGGTGTGAGTAGAGACTGCGGACAAAACCATCATTTGGTCAGTTCGCCTGTGCCCCCCCGGCTGCTCCGCCGGCCGCGCCCGCCGGGTGCCCCCGGCGGAAGCGCCTGGCTTGCGGCAGGCCAGAACCGGCTGAAGTTCTCGGTGACGCCCCGCAACCCGGGTGAGGTCACCATGATCGCGGTGCACTATAGCGTCGCGGGGCCCGCGTTTCAACCGCGGCGTTTTTCCGAGCGAGCGGAGCGTTGACGAACTGTGGCTGGACATGGCTGGACGGTGCGGTGGGAGGTTTCTGTGGCTGGGAGACACAAAGAGGTTTGGCAGAGAGTCTTTTGTGCTAGGTCTTCGGTGGGTTTCAGGGCAAGTTTTTCGGCTAAGCCAAAGACAGTGAACCAACAACCCGTAGTTCTTTGGTTGAACAAGTTGAACCGCTTCCATTTTCGCGAGCTCTCCAGGCCCAGGCTTGAGCCTCCATGGAGGGTTCGGATGCATTTTGGAAGGTTTATCGATCCACAGGTCTAGGTCCTAGGTAATGAGTTGTATTAGATTTTGCTAGGGGGGTGGCTTTGCTAGTTCGGTGTGGATCAAGAAGCGCAAGAGAGGTGGAAAGGAGTTCCTAGACTCCCGCATTTTTGGCGACCGGGGCTACTCCCGGACCACACCCTGGCTCACCTCCAAGCCTGGTTTGGCCGTCCGAGTGTTGCACCGGCCAAACCATCCACTTGGCCATACCAGAACCCCCCGAACCCCGCATTTGGTGCTTAACCGAACCTCCATGCCAGACCCCCATCAACATTTTGGCCATACCAGCCTCACCCCATCAACACCGCGCACCTGAGCCAGCTCATCTGAGCGCCGGCTTCGCGCTGCTCACCTCAGGTGAACAAGGATCCAGGCCGGTGGTGGATCCTTCGTCCCGTCACGTGACGCTGTAGCTCGCTCCACCGTAGGATCGCTGCGTCTGTGAAACAACCAATGCGCCAGTCACCCACAGTCAGGCGAAAGACCAGTGTGCATATGTAGTCATCCCATATGATTTGTAATGGTTGTATTGACCTAAAAGACATTTTTCCGATACTTTTGACACATTTTAACATATAGAAATGATTTGACCTTGTTGTGCAATTTAGGTATAGGCATGATGTTAGTCGTGATGTCATTGCCTTATTCATGTGTGGAGTGACGTGAAGTGAACTTATAGGTCAGGTTCGTTGCCTTGATCCCTTTCCGTGAGACTGTCGGGTCGGACCCAGATCCTTTTGGATTCTGGGAGGGGATCCGTCCGGCCATGAGCTGTCGCCGCCCCGCGCGGCTTACGCCTGATTCAGGTCACCAGGCTTCCCCCCCCTGCACCCGATGCGAGTCCGGAGCGGACTGGCGGTCGATCTCCGGTTGGAGGCCACGAAGACATGAACTTCGACATCCACAGACCCATGGAAGGCAGCAACACCTATGTCCACGTGACCCCTGACTTTGGCCCGGTGTGCGAACCTGGATCCAAGGTTGGGAGGACACTCGGGGGTGGGGAAGCGACGTTTTTGTTGGTTCTTTGAAGAAAGAAGGGACAGCCACTGTCGAGTAAGGAGCCAGGCTTTGTACTGGCTACGGTTTCAGTTGAACTGGAACCACTAGTGACCTAGGAACTAGTGGTTTGCCTAGATCCACTGGGCAGCACATATACTATAAGGCTCTTGCTTTTCAGACTGTTGAAGGAGAACAGAACCGGAAGGAAGCTGCAAGTTTGAGGAAACTGTGGAACCTTTGAATCTTAAGTTCTTCGAGCCTCTGAATCTTCATGTGCCACCCTTTTCAAGCCCTGCAGGTGACGTATTGGCTTGCTGCCATGGAGAAGGGTTTGATTGTGGAGATGCCTGAGAAAGCATGCCCAGTGAAGGAAAACCGACTGTTCTGGACTGCAGAGAACTAGAATCTAGAATCTTTCCGCTTACTGGCACTTGGCAAGAAAGCGGTGGGCAGGGGTGCCACCCCATGTCCTTTTTGCCCTGCAAGTCTTCAATTGATGACTAGCAGAAACTCTTAGATGGACTTCCGGCCAGGGTTGGGTCTATTCCATTGCGAAAGGGAAGAACGACGAACCAAGCCCCTTCTACTAGCTGCCCGACCCTGTCACTTGGAGCACGCTCCCGATTGATGGCGGGGCGAGCTTTGGTTCGCCATGCTCCCGGATCCCCAAAAAGACGATCGTGAGCTCTTGCGCTGCCTGCGGTTTCCGGGTGATCTAGAACCGTTCCTGTGACAGTTCCGGCGGGGCTGGTGGGAAGCGGCGCAAGATTGACATGCCCAACACGACCTGTGTGTCTTTCATTTGTTTTTTGAGACAGACCACCCCTTCCACCCCGGAACCGCCACTTCTGCCCGCCACTTCCGCCAGACTTAGCTGCGTTCGATCCTAGGCCGTGTGCCGATCCCACAGCACTTCATGATCATGCACGTCGAGCAGGCGCCAAACGGCACTCGTTCCGTCTGACGGCCGAGTTGGGAATCAAGGAACGCGGCCAGGGTGACGCGGTGAGGTGACGGTTTGGCCATCGACCTTTGTGTCAGAGGAGTGACTGCGTGTTAGAAGCTACCTTCAGACATGCATATACTGATGCTAGATGCATCTAGCTAGAAGCTAGAAGGGGTCAGCATCAATATTTATGGTCAGATGCTGACCCCTTCCGCTTCTAGCTTCTAGCTAGCTTCTAGAATATTTATGGTCAGATGCTGACCCCTTCCGGGTCCCCCCCTTCACCTTCGGTTGGAAACAACAACCAAAGCGCCGACTCTGGATGAGATCAACCGGTCGAGTCACCACTTTCACCGAACTTTCGCCGCTGCATTATGACTCTCGTCGGCAAGCATCATATTCCTGGGATGAGCCAATTGAGCCACTTGCGCCCGTTTTCCTCGTTGGATGAATCAATGAGCTTGTAGTGTCCAAGCTGTCCACAACCCCACAAAGGTCAAGTGTCCACCTGTATGCGTCAGAGGTTTTTGATGTGACCACCCTTTTTCCCCTTCCGCTCTAAGGCCTTTTCTCACGTTTTCAGGGAATCTTGGTAGTAGCCCGAGAGATTTTTTGGGGCCTAGCTTGTTCAGCTTCACACTCTGGACATGCAATGATATGGCATGATGCCAATGCTGCTTGCAATATCATCAACTCATGGTACTTGTAGATCCAATGACAGCCACAAGCACCACCCTACTGCCGCTGACTGCCGTCAGGAAATCAAAGGCGATGACACACCGGTGCTGCAGAGTGTCCTGCAGGCGGATCGTGAACGCGAGTGGCTCCTCAAAGTCGAGCAGGAGACCATGCGGCCATGCGGGATATGGATAACCTGGTTTCGTGTCCACCTTCGTTTGGGGGGGCAGGGTCGGCCGGGTGCCGCGCGGTGGTTCTTTCAGTTTCGCTTTTCAACACCGGAGTTTTTAGGCGACTGAGCGATGAGGTCGGTGTGACGTCCAGCGACTTCGAAGGATTTTCGGATCTTGGCCAATTTTTGGTGGGTGACCACTGACACCTGGATACTGCTCTAGTCTAAAGAAGTAGTTGAAGCTGCTTCTAGAAGTTTGGTGGGAGCGGTGTCGGTCAATCAAGCACGTCAAGTCGACAGGTTTCACATGGTTTTCTCTGGGAAGTGAAGATGAACCTGGCACCCGAAGCCTTTGGAAGACTTTGGGAGGTAACAAAGGGCGCTACGAACGGAGCAAGGACGCTACGAACGTAGCTCCTGGCATTACTGCTAGAAACAAGAAGCTACTAGTAACACAGATGGATGCTTCCTCGACGTTCTCTGGTGGTCTTCAGGTTCCATGTCGGTCTCTTCCAGGGCATCTCGCGCCCATTCTCTCTCTCCCAACCCTGGCTGCTTCGTGTGGAGCGGCCTAGGAGCTACTGGAGAGGGAGGACGATGGGAGCGGCCTCGAGCCGAAGGCGGCTGGGTGGTTTGGCTTGGGGCAGGCATGCTTTGGCTTGGGAAGCGATGGCTGCTTCCTTGAAAGGGTGGATTGTATTGGAGGTCCGGAACAGAAACTAGTCACCGCCATTCCTTTTTAGAAAGCGTGTCTCATCCTTTGGCCTCTTTGGGTGGATGTTCACACAGCCGGGGGGGGGCCTCCCTTCGCCCTCCGCCACATGGGGAGGGCGAAAAGAACACCAAATCCATCCAAATCCCAGCTCTCAACCGGCTGAACTCCACTTTTTGCTTGTTTCACCCCCGAGTTTGGGTGCGGGTGCGGGGACGACCTGAAGCTCAGGGAGTGGATTCTTGGGTCTTTGACACCGCCTTGATGCCCAGGTGAGTGGCGTGGGCCTGATGGAGGCCGGCCGCTTCGGGAGGGGTTGTCCTCGACCTGGCTGACTGGATCCTGTTTTCGCCCGGGTTCGGCTCGGGTTCGATGACTCTTTTCGTCTAGAAACAGGCAACAGGTGGCTTTTCCAGAACCGCTGGGAGTGGAGGAGTTCTTTAAGGGAACAACTGGCCTGTGTCTCATGGCCTTGTGGAGATGATGCTGACTAGACCTCGAGTCTTTTGGGTTTTCGATGGTTTTCGTATCACCTCTGAATTCGTGTGCGAGAGGCGCCAAGTGTCGCCAAGGATTGGAGTCGTGTGGAGTGTCGCCTGCCGATTTCCCTGCTGCTAGCTAGCTCGATCTTCAGTTCAAATCACACAGCGCTTGAACATGAAGCAACCAGATGCTAGCCATATGCACCTCCCTTTGAACGTGTTACTTCAGTTCTCAGTTCAACAACTGGGAACATGCAGTGAACGATGCTGGCCACCAGTCCATGGGGAGACCCTTCTTTGCCGGAAAACAACCGAAACAGGTCTACGAGCGGCTCGAGGAGCTGGGGAACGAGGATGCAGAGGTGGAGAGTTGGTCTTTTTTGGGGAAAGAGGGCAGGGCCGGGCAGGGCTGCAGGTGAGGGAAGTTGAGGTCGTCTCCCCTAGAACTAGGGTTCATGACCAGCTGACCTGAGCGGAACTTCTCAATGCCAAGCGCTGCTTCAGGGTGTGAAAACAGCTGGAGTAAGTTTGGGTGAAACAGCTTGTGCAGGCGAGAACGTACAGCAATCAGACTTTGATTTGACCCCGGGACAACGTGAACTACTGCAGGCGGCAATGAGACTTTTGCACCTCAAAGTGTCGGACCACCCGATGCTTTTGCAGCCTCGGTGCATTAGTGAATCCACCCTTCAGTCTCGAAACAAGACGAGCCGACGAACCAGGGAAGGAGAAAGCACCACCGTCCAACGCCTCCCCCGTCCACTTTCGGCGAGCCCCCTCCGAACCTGATCTTCGCTCCAACGGAAGAGATGCAGCAGCAGCACCGTTGGACGCATCCACACGTCCTTCTGGACGCTCCGGTCGGGTCCCTCCGACCACTCCCGAGGTCTCCCGGGTCTGGTCGGCCACACCGTGCCGGGTGCCTCCGCTCGTTCCGTCCGGTTGAGAGGCCCGTGCCGCGGTGATCCTGGCGGGGCTGGGATTCTCCGGCGAGGAGCCGGGGGGGGGGCAGGTGGAGAGACCCAAGAGTTGGGAGTCTTTTGGATTGGAAGAGGGAAGAAGTGGATCATGATTCTGGACTTCCCTTTTCATCAATCCTTTTCATCAAGGAACAACAAGTGTCTAGAATTCACATAAACATTGTTACATTGTTAAACATCTAAACCACGAGCCAATCTACCAGCATGCAAAAAAGCAGACACCTCTCAGCCTCCAACCTACTAGCGATGGCCCCCATCGCTCTACTAGCAATAGCCTCCAACCCAGCCACCAGCATGAAAAAAGAAACAGACACCTCTTAAGCTTTAATTTCGAACTATTGGTCGAACCCCCTTAAAGTCACTGAAGCCAAAGCTGCATGATTCTCAGCCTTTCTCCGTCCCAAGTCCGGGGAAGTACATTGAAGCACTACCAGTCCTTCACAAGGAGATTGATTTTCGGGAAACATCAACCTTTTGATGCGGCACATGGTGCCCCGCCCCCGGGGATAAAGACTAGTCACCACCTTTGACGGTTCCGTAGTGTTTGGCTCTAGCTGTGGATGGCAGATTGCAAAAGCTGCCACAACCGGCTGGGGCTTCCCGCTGGCACATCGGGGTTGTGCAATCCCTGTTACTTGGCCACCCGCATTGAGCGATTGGTGGTAACAAGGTATCCACCCGCGAAAGCCTCCGAACTCATACATTTCCTGGCGAAAACTCTCCATACCCTCGAGGCCGATACTGAGGCGTTCGAGGCTGACAAAACCGCCGGGTTGGTGGATCAACAGGGGTACTTGATCGAGAAGAAGGACACCAAGGCCGGGGCATCGCAGAAGTTCGCTGCGGGGGTTCACCCTGGCAAGGAGGACCCGGCGGCCGCATCGGCGGGGGTGAAGAAGGAAAAACAAGAAGAGTCAGAGGCAGCTACCCCGGGATCATCGACTCGACATCGACGCCGGAGGAGAGAGGAGAAGGAAAGATCAAGGAGCAGGAGCCGCAAGCGAGAACGCCGCAAGGCCAAGAAAGATCCTACGCCTGAGCCCAAGCAGGAGGTGGCAACAGAAGCGGAGGAAGAGGTTGAGGAGCCAGAGAACGAGGCAGAGGTTGAGAGTGAGGTGGACGAGGAGGTAAGTGAAGGCCCGTCTCAACACGACGACGGCGTCAGCCCAGACACAGAGGTCGCGAGGGACCCAGAGGGAGCAGGACTTAGGAAAGTCCCGCCAAAGCCATCGGCCCGCAAGCCTTTGCCGAGGCGACCGCGAACACCGTCGAGATCCCCACCAGGATATCGTGGACGGCAACCGGAAGGCACCAAAAAGTGGAAGGGTGTCAAGCACATCATACGGGGTCAAACCCTGGGATACAGCAACAAGGGGCGACCGCCCAAGGGAAAAGGTAAAGGGAAATGGCACCGAAGATGAGGAGACCGGCAAGAGCAGAAGAGCCCGATCGCAGGAGACGAGGCCTACGTCGACCCGCCGCTCATGCAGTGGACATGGGCCCTCGGGGCGAAGAAGCCCTGCCCTGGGATCCGAGCATCGGGGATCTGGTGGTTGCAGAGGCAGCGCATTACTACGGGACACCATGTCGCTTCACGGGGCGCATTCTCGAGGACAACAGGGACGCATCCGGGCGGCACCTGAGCGTCAGGCTTCATGGCACAGATCACGAAGCCCTTTTGACCTGGGCCACAGGCGCCATGACCGCAGCCCGAGTACATCTTTGCCCCGAAGGATGCTCGAGGGAAGCCGAGGGACCCGGCCTCATACATTGCAGCGACCTCCGCACCATCAAGTCCTTAGAGGAGTTAGTCGGAGTCCCCTGGCGCGACGTGTTGTTGGAAGGGCGTACGAAGCCCGACGACGAGCTGGCAGGCTTGAGGAGCAGAATGGAAGCAGTCGGGGGACCAGGCCCTGCAGCAACAGCGGCGGCGGCAGAGATCGAGGTGAAGGAGGCCAAGGAGAAGGAAGAAAAAGAGAAAAAGAAAGAAAGGAAAAAGAAGAAGCGGAAGAGAAGCCATTCCCCGAGGTCAAGGAGCGGAGAGTCAAAGAGGGGGAGATCAAGGAAGAGAAAAAAGGAGACGGGGAAAGACCCTGGCAGTTCATCCAGCTCCTCGAGCAGTTCAACAACGGTCGAATTCAAGGAGATCTCCCAGGAGGTATTGTTCCGAGGATCGGGAATGGACCCTCATGTCCGAACCCGGCGGAAGCAGCGGCGCCGGGCACAGCGCATGGCCCGACGATCTCGCGACAAGAAGGAGGAAAGCAGGTCGGGGTCGTCGGAGGACGGGGGGGACTTGGCCCTGAAGGGGGATCAGATCTTCGGCGAATCCCAGAAAATCCGCGGGATTGCACTGCAGTTTCCAGGTGTCCTGACGTCGCAGGCGATCAAACAGATGCAACAACTCCTGGTGCAGGAAGTGGGGCTCGATCATCAGCGGGGGGGTCCCTGGAGCCCCACTTTACTCAGATACTTCAGACAAACTCTCTTCCGCAAAATGTCAGGACCAATGGCGAGGGAAGCTTTGACATTATCTACAATAGGAGATCAATTATTGAAGGGCATGGTGCCCGGGGCGATGGACACCCTGATACAGAGGCTGAAGTCGCTCGAAGCCCAGTCCACCGGCCTTGCATGGACATCCGCCCAGCGGATGGAACTTTTGCCCCCAGACGGGGCCAGCCTATCGTCACGGCAGGAGCTCTCGATTGCAACAGCGGAGCACCGCGCCGAAGTGAAGGCTCACCAGGCCGGGAGTTGGAAGGACTGGAGCAAAGGAAAGGGGGGCAAAGCAGAAAAAGAAGAAGGCGCCAAAGGCAAAGGGAAAAAAGGGAAGGCAAAACCCAAAAAGGATTAGAGGCTGAAGTGGGCCCAGAGGGCAATGGCAATATAAGCACTACGAACTCGGGGCGGGCGTGCCCTGGTGACGAGTTGGCAGATACATCACGGGGGGATGCCCTGGAAGCTCGGGGACGCAATACAGGCGATACAGCAGCGACCCTGGGGGATCGGGGGCAAAGCCCTGAGCAGGACAGTTTTTTGAACGATGAGGTCATTGGCGCCCGGTTGAAGAGGCAGACAATTGACCCACCTGGGGCTTTGGCTTCAACACGGTGCACTACGATGCGGGGGGTGAACCCTGTGGGGGCAGAAGTGGAGGATGTGCCATTCCCTCCCCTGCCCCCTGGCATTTCTCCAGATGTGCCGCTTGCTAGCGTGTGAACACCCCGGGGAAAAAAGCCCTGTGCGTCGCCGAGAGGCGAGAAAAGGACTGTGTGGCAAGAGGCTTTGGGAGATGGGGGAGGACCTGGTCGGAGAGTTTCGAAGGGTGTCGTCGCTCTGCAGCCAGTCCACGGCAAAGGGAGGGTTTCCGGACGCTTTAGGGGCTAAGGACACTTTCCCTCTGCCCACCTTTCGAACCCAGATCGCCCTCGCTCTCGATGCCGCTAAACCTTGGGTCATTGCATGGGTACAAGCTATTTGCATGGGCCTGAATTCGTTATGGGGTTGCCCGACGGTTTCGCTGCAGGATGGACAATCCTCCTTGGTGCATGAGATGTCAGAGGTGCACACCCGCATCCTCCGGTCGATCGCTCGTGACGTGGCTCGGCTGGGAGGGGTTGGCGAGGTGACGGAGTTTTTTGAATGGGACTCTTTTTTCAGGACGCGGACTATTGATTATAAGGGGGATGAAGTCAAGACTGCGCAGCAGTTTACCTGGAGGAACATCCAGCCCGCCATACCCCGTGAAATCGGTGTGGTGGAGCTGAAGGACATCTGTGAGCAGGGATGCAAGCACTACATTGAACACTTCCCCAACTTTCTCAAACCGTCGCACGAATGGGGACACGCGCGCAAAGCAAAAGTCATGGTAGCAGACAGGGACTGGACAGAGGTAGCCACTGGATTGCTTGAGGCCGGTATTTTCGGGGTCATCCCTGAGTCGGAGGTTTTTAAGGTGCATGGAAGACCCTTGCTAAATGGACTGTTTGGAGTGGAGAAACACGAAGAAGTGGAGGGCATCCCTGTTTACAGGCTAATTATGAATTTAGTGCCACTCAATGCACTTTGTCAAGGACTTCACGGGGACATTACAACCCTGCCGCACTGGTTTGGGATGACGCCGTTCCACATCCAACCGCATGAATCCATGGTGGTATCAAGCGAGGATCTACGGTGTTTTTTCTACACACTGCGGTTGCCTAGTTGCTGGTACCCCTATGTATGCTTCAACAAGAGGTTACCGCCGGAGTTGGTGCCTCCGGAACTTCGGGGGCAGCCTTGTTATCCCTGTTCAAAGGTTCTGCCGATGGGTTTCCTGAACAGCGTTGGCATAGCCCAACACGTGCATCGGGTCCTGGCTAGGCGTTCACAAGTTCACAACCAGATGCGTGATACGGCGTCACAGGAGATACGCAAAGACAGGGTGCTACCAGAGGGGGCGACAGTCTGGAGGGTTTATCTTGACAACTATGACCTGCTCGAGAAATACCCCCACGAGGTGCTAGGAGGTATGGTCGAGGAGGTTGCCCCAGAGGTTTTAGCGCTAAGACAGGAATACCAGGCATGGGGACTCCCTCGACACCCCGGCAAAGCAGTGAGCCGGAAGACAGTACAAGGAGCAGTCGTTGACGGGGAACGGGGCATTGCTTACCCTAAGGGGCAGAAGTTGTCCAAGTATGTCACCATCGCCTACCAGCTGGTGAGTGAGTCACACTGCTCGCAAAGACAAATGCAGGTAGTTTGTGGTGGCTTGGTGTATTTCTCCACCTTCCGTCGACAGCTTCTCGGAGGGCTTAACCTCTGCTGGGCGTTTATCGAGTCGTTCAACTCTTGTGGGCGGCACAAGCAACTCATCCCAATTGGAGTAAAGCTGGAGATTATTCGCTTCTTATGCCTAGTCCCTCTCTGCCGTATGGACTTCCGCCTGAAGATGAACCCAAGGGTCACCTGCAGCGACGCGTCACAGCATGGAGGAGGTGTCTGCGTAGCCACGAGCCTCACAAACTACGGGGAAAAGGTGGCCCTGGGCGAGGAACGTCGTGAGATGGTGGCAGGTGGCGGACCACGGATCTTGAGCATTGGTCTCTTTGATGGGATCGGGTGCCTCAGAGTCGCCCTGGATCTGCTTGGGTGTGACGTGATAGGCCACATCTGTGTTGAAAAGGACGCTGCCGCCCGCCGGGTGGTTGAGCACCACTTCCCAGATAGTTGGCACTATGACGATGTTGCGGAGATTTCGACGGAGGACGTTCAGCGGTGGGCGCTACGTTTTGGGCAGGCCTCGCTGATCCTAATTGGTGCTGGACCACCATGCCAAGGAGTCTCAGGACTCAACAGTCAACGCAAGGGGGGCATTGCGTGATGAGCGATCGTCATTGTTCGTGCACGTGAAGCGATTGCGTGAGTTGGTACAGTGTTGTTTCCCTTGGGGGCAAGTCCACTGCTTGATGGAGAGCGTAGCATCAATGGATGATCGTGACAAGCACATCATGACGGAGTCGTTCGGGGATCAACCCTGGCAAATCGACGCTGGGACGTTTTGTTGGTGCAGCAGGCCACGGCTGTATTGGATCAGCTGGGAGCTCAATGAGGAGCAGGAAGACGTGGAGATTGATGGCAGGCGCGTGATATTGACGGGGCATCAGCCCTGGACGTCATCGGTGGAAGCTGGATGGACAAAAGTCGACGGAGACAGGCCTTTCCCTACGTTTACAACGTCAAGACCACGTACATCACGGGGACATCGCCCTGCAGGCCTGGATGCGTGCGACAAAGCCACCACCACCCGGTGGGAGGACGACCTACATAGGTTCCCGCCATACCAGTACATTCCACGCAATTGTGTGGTCAACAAACGTGGTGACTACAGGCTTCCGAATATCCGTGAACGAGAATACATGATGGGGCTGCCCGTAGGTTACACGCTGATGTGCATGCCCAAGTCAAAGCGGAAGCTCCCCGAGTGCATGGACAAGCGGCTGACCTTGGTCGGGAATGCCTGGGCTGTTCCAGTGGTCAGTTGGCTTATTGGGCAATTGGTAGGACCACGGGGAGCTGGACCCCTGTTGCCTCCGGCTGAGATCCTTTCTCGGCTGACCTTGGAGGGGAATCCGTATATCCAGTCGCGTCTTCTCAGAGCACCGCTCAAGACGGATCAGCGTGCAAGTACAGGAGCAGAGGAGGCCTTGGCACAGCACTTAGGACGTCTAGTTTCCACAAAGGGGTCTGACCTTATGATCACGGCGGCGCAGGATGAGATTCAGAGCTATCAGCGGCTTCGACATACTGTGAATGCAAAGATGTGGCGTTGGAAGGTGGTATCCGGCTGGAGGTGGCGAACGCCGGGAGAGCGCATCAACTCGTTGGAGCTTAGAGCTATCTTGGCTTGTCTCCGATGGCGATGTGAGCATCTGGGGGAGCATGGATGTCGCATCCTTCACCTTACAGATTCGCTGGTCCGCCTACACAGCCTCAGCAGGGGAAGGACATCATCACGCCGCTTACGCAGAACCCTTTGCCGTATCAACTCGCTTCTATTGGCTCACAACCTGGGTGCCCTTTGGGGCTATGTTCATACTGACCTCAACCCGGCGGATAAGCCGTCGCGGTGGTCAGTGAAGACGAAGTTCAAGCATGCCAAAGGTCGTACTTGAGGGGACCACTCAAGCCAGTAGAGCGAAAGAAAGGCAAAGGTTAGGTACTTTGAGGGGCCTTACGGTCCAACCTGCCACACGTGTGCGGTATGATCGAGCTTTGAATCGCTTCCTGACCTTTCTCAAAGAGGAAGGTTTGGAGTTGCCTACCCGTCGCAGCCTGCTAGACCCTCTCGTGATGGAATACATAGAGCATCTCTGGCGCACCGGGGAGGGGCGTGGACTGGCCGCCGACACCCTGGCGTCATTGCAGGACTTTGACGCGAAAATTCGGGGGCAACTCCCTGGTGCCTGGCGCCTTGTCAAAACGTGGGTCACGCACGAACTGCCCAACAGGGCTCCGCCCATGCCTGAAACCATCCTCCACTCCATGGTGGGATGGAGCTTATACCATCAGCATTTTCCCTTTGCTACCAGCCTTTTACTTTGTTTTTACGGCGCCCTACGCACGGGTGAATTGCTAGATGTTACCAAGCGTCGGATCGATGTTTCCGAAAACCTCCGAGTGGCTGTTGTAAGTCTTGGCCTGACAAAAGCCGGCAAGAGGGCTGGCGCACAGGAAAGTGTCACGGTAGGCCATGACACAGCTTTCCGTTACTTGCAACAATGGATGTCCCTTGCTAGTTCACGCCAGCGACTTTGTCCGCCAGCGGCCCGTTGGCGCAAACTTTTTAAAACGTGCATAGAAGCCCTGCACCTGGAGCCCCTAGACCTGAGACCATACTCTCTCCGAAGGGGAGGGGCTACGTGGTGGTTTTGCCAGCATGGGAACCTAGATCGCGTAATGCTTCTAGGTCGCTGGCAAGCCCAAAAAACGGCTCGTTTATATTTGAACGAGTCAAGAGCCGTTTTGACAGAAATGCAACTTGGTCCCTTTCAGCAGTTTTTGACACCATACCGTACTTTCTTTGCAAATTCCACCCCCAAGTCTTTTAAAACACTTGAGCCGCTGCAAAGCAGCAGGCCGTCCGCCGGAACTCGGCGGCTCGGGGGACGTGGAAAGAAGGGTAAGAAAACCCTTAAGAGACCTTCGTTGGGGGGG